TAGTCTCACCCTAGTGTAATCTTTTGAATTTGGATAGTTTAGGTGGATGGTTGGGCCTGTTGCAACGTGGGATAGCGTTGGACAGTGGATAGTTAATATTAATTAATTATTAGAACTGTTTAATCTTTCAACTTCTGTTTATAAATGCTCGCTTTATGCAAATGAACCACTCTAGCTCTTCTTTGATGATTCCCTGCATCATGCCTCTATTCCGGTATGACTTGCTGAGTACAGTGGGTAGTACTCAGTCTTGCTCTATTTTTCCCAACCTCAGAGCACGAGTATGTGTCGGATGGAGGTGTCTCTGAGGAGTAGGCTTCGTCCGTGCCGTCGAGGATGCCTGTGGAGTGGTGTTCCCGCTGCAGTTCTAGTCAAGGCTTAGCTCCTGTTGTCTTTCTTTTCTTCCGCTGCATTTATGTAAGACTTTTATGATGTTTGTAAGACGTGGATCTGAATGTCAACATTGTCGTTTGTGTACCCCGGCTGGTCCTGGACGGGGATTTTAATGCACATTCTGCTTGAAATTCTATTCGGGAATTTCTGTGCGTGACACCAACCCAACCAACCTTATCCTCACTCTTGCTCCCATCCATCCTTATTCCCACACTATTGCCCCCTCCTCCTTCCTCGGTGCCTCCTCCTCCTCCTCCTCCACACTGCCGCCCTACTCCTACTCACCCCAGCACTGCCACATGCCCACCTCCTCACCACCACACCCCTACCCCTGCCGCATCCGCCTCCCGCCACTAGCCCACTCCACGCAGGTGTGCCACATCTGCCTCGTTGTCGCCGTCTTCCTCCTCTCTGTCCCTCTCGGCATCTCCCCAGTGCAGCGCGGCGTAGGAGCGAGTCGACGGCTCATGGCGCTGCAGCTGCTCGGTGGCTCCCTGGCGCTGTGGCTCCTCGGTGCGGCGGCTTCCCGATGGCGTGGCGGCTCGGGATCTGACCCCCCCGAGCTCGGGACCTCCACAACAGCGAGGTGGCGAGGAGCGGCGGCAGACTCCCTCTCACCCCTCCCTCTCCTCTCATCTTTTATGTGATGTGATTTTTTTATTTCCAGTTGGATCGTCTCCTGTCCTAGATTTATTTTGGATTGATTTTGTGATGATTCTGATGGGATTGGGATTTAGTTTTTGGGTTAGATTTGTGATGATTTGGATTGGTTGTGGGATCTTCAGAGGGGACGCGCATTGACATATGAAGCGGAGAGGAGGTACACGTGATGCGGATGATGGACCAAGACGGACAAAAATCATCTACCGGAAGCCTTACGAATTTTTTAAGTAGGTATAGATTTTGATATATGGCAAGAAGATGTGAGTAAAAATCATAGGAGAAAGGGGTCGTCTATATATAATTTGATAGAAAAAGTGGTTCTAGATTTATCAGATTTTTCAACTGCAAGATAAGATCAAACTGATTTGATTGATATGCACAAAATCAAATACCAGTAGAAAAAAAAAACTGAACATACAATCAGATCAGCATGTCCTAATCTCAAGCCCATTAAACACCCAAACTCTAGTGTAGGCTCGATAAAGTTCAAATATCATGATTCACCTCATAGGCTCACATCAAACAAATCAAACTTAGCTCATACACTTTCCAACCCAAAAACAAATCAAAACTTGACAGGGAAAAAATGTTGCAATCCCTAATACACGAATACACGCAGCTGGCACACGCATAGGCCCACTGAGGTGCGCGTGTCTGCATCTCCAACTTGCCGCTCTACATTCTCTCGGGTGCATTTTGGTTTTTCTTCTCTTGATTATGTGGGCCTCCATGAGTTTTGGATGAGGCATTGCTAACTTCCAATATTAAAGTATATTTTCAATAGTGTGTTTAAATTATTCGGTTTTGAATGTTCCTAGTGAACCTTCTACTCAAACTTTCAACTCAAAATTCAAAACTTTCAAATCAAATTTAAAAATTTTTAAGTCATACTTGAAAACTTCCAACTCAAAATTCAAACCTTTCAACTCGAATTTTGAAACTTGCAACCCTAATTTCTAAACTTTCAACTCAAAATTTGAAAACTTTCAACTCGAAACTTGAATTTTCAAGTCAAATTTTAAAAACTTTCAACTCGAAATTTGAATTTTCAAGTAAATAATTTCAACTTAATTTTTTTTTAAAAAAATCAACATATGAATTTTTCAACTACAAATTTAAAACTTTCAACTTAACTATTTATTTTTTATTTTGATTTAAAAAACCATGATTAGCGTCGATCAATTTGCTTAGAGAGGTTAGCATTTGGCATGCACGCACTTTGGACCGAAGGGTGCGCCATTTCCTTTGCGGGCCCATGCATGCACATCAGTCGTCCCCAGAAGATACTCGAGAGCCAAGCATTAGAACTCAGGTCACATGTATGTTAGAACAAAGCCATCCAGTTGAATCAAAACTAAACATGTATCAACTTTCAAATACATAGCCTATAGTCGAACAATATGACGGTTGAAGAAAAAAAATCAAATTATGAAGAAAAATGAATAGATGGAAGAGGATTGGGGAAAAACTCAAGACTCCAAACGACACACATTTTGAAGGGTTTACTTCACACATCTTTTACCATCATTTAACAACACAAATTCATAATCTGAAGTAAACATAATAATTTTAACAAATATCAAACCTCAGAAGAAACTTACACTAATTAATAGCTAAAACTACAGATATATTTACAGTGTAACTATAAGTGTATTATGGTGTAAGTGCAAAATAATATAAGGCTAAGTGCAAAAAGATACAAGTAAAAGTTATATTAGAAAAGGCAAGAAATTATAACCCTTTTTGTTAAAAAAGATACCAACTTGAAATACGACAAGAAATGCGAGTAAACAAGTATAGCGTGACACTTACCAACTTTATAATGCTCAAAAGTAGATGACCAACACGGTATCACTGAATAAGTTGGTGATATGGACCCAAAAGATGTGGCAATTGTCTGGTTCATCAATGATCGAGTAGATAAGTCATCTTATATCTTCGTTAAGGGTGTTGCATATGAAATAGCCATGGAGAAAAGACAAAGAAAGAACAAAAGCACTCTAACCAAAACCTCCAAACATATAAACATATAGCTCCATAAATACTACGCGAGATAAACCCTGGATCCCAATAGTTCTAACCCTATCTAAAGACTTTATTTGGAACAAACTCTATAAACCTACTAGACCAAAACAAGAGATGGCCTTCCCCCTTTCTCCTTGCCACCAATGAGAACTCTAAAGAGCAAAGTAGAGGATCGAAGGGTGGTGGCAGTGAACAAAACAAGGATGAGATTGAAGGGTTGTAACAACGAACACCCTCAAAGGTGTGGGTGCTGTTTAGTCGCCTTTTGACTTTTGAGCCATGTGTGATATGCGGATATGGTTCCATTACTATGCTATGGAAAATTGACCCATTAAACTCGACAAGAATGATTTGGATAAGTAATTTGTGAACTTTTCCCCTATATTAACTGAAAGCAACTCTAACGCCTCTCTTGGTGCGGAGATTTTACAATTCTGAGGGAAAATCACCAATCTCTAAATTTCAACCATGCATCAACAAGAAATCCCAGGTCTAGATATCATCCGTGCAAAGAACAAATTTATAAAAAACATATTCCACATATAAGATTTATCCTTTTTATGACAAGATGTCATACGAGGAATCGATGGCAAGGAGGGAGGAGAAGAAAAAAAAGGCTCATACTAGATAAATCTTGTCATGTCTTTGTTATCAACAATAAGAACCTTGGATCAATTGAAAGAGAAATGCACAACAAGAAGACGATATGGTGGGGATGAGGGAGGAGGTAAAGATAAAATAAATACATGTAATGAAGAGAAAAAAAAAGACCCTTCAAGCCATCTTTACAAAAAAAAATGAAAAAAAAAGGAGTAGAGAAGAATCCAAACAAGTAACTGAGTGCTAAAAGTTGCTTTAAAAAATTATATTAATCTATTTTTAATTTTTTTAAGCTAATAATTAATTAATCACACACTAATTCATTGCTCCGTTTTTCACCCTTACATAAGATCATAGGCACACAGCCTAAAAGTAGTTATATCTAGTGCGAGGGCTATAATTTAGAAATGAGTTACAGTGAAGTACCATTTTGACCTTATTTTAAATTACAAAAGATATAAAGCTCATTCACCTTAAAATTCTACAGTGTTGAATTTCTGCATCTTCCGTTTTGGAACACGTGAAAAAAAATCGTCGAAATAAACGGAACACAAGACGAAATCGTCGAAAGCGCGGTCGAATCTTTTCTTGACCAACGAACGAGCGAGTCGACGGCAACACCCCGGCCTTACTGTTGACCCCACGAGGCGGAACGAGACAGCGAGGCTCAATCCCCGACCACCACGTGGCATCCTCGATGCCTCGCTGGCAGCACCTCCTCCTCCGCGCGGCCGCGTCCCCACGATGACTCGACCTCCGCGAGCGCAGGAAATCGGAGGAAAAACGCCCACCACTAGCCCTCCCCCGCCGCCACCGACTCACGGGCCCCACACCCAGTCTGGCCCCACAGGTCAGTCACTGAGGGGCTGTTTGGTTTTCAGAGACTTATTCAAGTCCCTGTCATATCGGATGTTTGGACACTAATTTAGAGAATTAAACATATACTAATTACAAAACACATTCCATAAGCTTGGATTAATTCGCGAGACGAATCTTTTGAGTCTAATTACGCCATGATTTTGACAATATGATGCTACAGTAAACTTTTGATAATTATGGATTAATTAGGCTTTAAAAAATCGTATCGCGGATTAGCTCTCATTTATGAAATTAGTATTTTTATTAGTCTATATTTAATATTCTAAATTAGCGTCTAAACATCCGATGTGACATGGGCTAAAAAGTTTTACTCCCATCTAAACACCCCCGAGTCGTGGGAGGTAGGCAAGCGCGGGGGCCGCGCCGACCCCGACCACGACCACGCTGGAAACTTCCCAACCCCTAGATGACTAGGCAACGCTCTCGATTATTTTTATCATTTTTTATTTTTATTATTTTCTCGCCATCAAATTTCCGCCGCTCTCCTCCTCCTCTCCTCTTCTCCCTCCTGCGCCGCCGCCACCTCCTCCTCCCTCTTCCGCGCGCATATTCGCATCGCATAAATCGCACCAACCGCGCGGCAAGAGGAGAGGGAGGAGGAAGCCGACCTAGCGGGCTAGCAGGCAGGGCGTCGAGCGGGTTGGAGGGTTTCTTGAGCGGGTTCGCCAGCTCGAGCTGTTTGCTTGTGGGGTTCTTGTTTTTCTTTTCCGGGATCTTTGGGTGATGGCTGCTGCTGCGGCGGCGGAGACGTCGGAGGCGTCCACGGCCGGGCTCGCGCTCGCGGAGGCCAACATCAACTGGCAGAGGTAAAGCGCCCCCTTTTGATTTCTTTCACTTCGGAATAAAAATGTTCTTTCTTTCTTTGTTTTTTTTTTTTGAGTCATGCGAGGAGGGATGGCTGCGGCTTAGCGCGATGATAATTACTCCGCCTTTGCAGAACAGTAGTATTAGCTTCTTCATATAGTGATCTTGGCCGTTCACCATCAAATCTGCCTGGGTTTAGTTCGCGATTTGGGATTGGGGATGAGAAAGGGGAATTTTGTGGTGGTAGGAAGTCGAGTCACTTGCACATTAGCCACGGTTAGGTGTTTTTTTTTTCTTTAACCTTTTTTTGTGGACTTGTGGGAGCACTCACGAGGATCACGCCATTGTCGCTGTCGGTTTGGATGGTGAACAGAAGTTAGGCGCTTTGCTGTTTGGTTATGGCAAGGCCAACTTAGGTATGGCTTCCGCAAGCTTTCAGTTGCACCTTTCTGAATGGGAATAGTCTGTTTCACAAGTTGAGATGGAATTCTTACTCAATAATGCTTGGTAGAATCCCTCAAGCTGAAAGTGTGCAGAGGTAGAAAAGAAGACGTTTTGCTTTTCTGTTGATAATATATGAGCGAGGTGTTGTTTGTATGGAGGAGGAGTAGAACTACTACTTCTCCGGTCACGATAACATGCCGTTTAGGCATTATGTGGACTCCGACACACAAATTTACGGGATAATTTGGACAATACCAACGCAAAGATATGAGAGCTGCAAAATACCATTGTATGTGAGATGTGGGGCTTGGAAACCACATGTCAATGACACACACAAATAGTATTTTGCAACTTTGCGATTTCTGTGATGGTACCAAACAAATTGGCCCTAAATTTAATTGACGCTTAGGACAACCAAACTACAAAGAAAACAAGCCAAAAGATTTGTCTGAAACGACAAATAAAATGGACCATAGATAGTAATTTATTTGCAACTCCAATATATTACAATATTGTGAAAGTACTTTTGAGACAAATTTACTTGTATGATTTTTATATATTTGATCTAAATATTTAAGGAGACATTGGTGCTCAAAGTATTCAAAGTTTGACTCAATGTATGTATTTGACACAACATGTTTTATCATCGACTCATGTCTGCAACTCATATATCAAGCATGTTTTCCTAAGCACTTCAGTACCTATTGCTGTAGCTTTTGGGATGTGTAGCTATTCATTTTGTTATAATGTTACACCATGTTTTGGGCGTTGCAGGGGTGGGGGTTGGCTCACCGATTGACATTTGGCATAACATGCTGCTAACTAAGCTTCTAATACATAAACCATAACCAAGATTCATGTTATGTTTCAGTTCTAGTGTCTCAAGTCTCAATTGAATTTCACATTGTTCCGACCATTAATATAATGGACAGGAGTTCTGGCTAGTGTGTCAATTCCTCTTTATGATGCTTATAACAGTGGATGTTATATAGAAAAGATTACCACTTGCGGTGACAATCCATGCAAGTATCTATATCAAATCATATGAAGCGCCAATTTGTATCAGCATATTTCTGTGACTGAAAGAATTTCATTTTGCTTATTTTGCATCACAATTAGGTTGGACAAGACCAGGTTCCATGTCATTGGAGCTATCCTATTTACTGCTCAGCAAGGTGTTCTGCACCCTACGGCCGTTGTGAAGACCAGAATGCAGGTTGCAGAAGGAGGGCTTTCACACATGTCTGGCTTTTCTGTTTTCAGAAGGATATTGAGAAGTGATGGCATCCCTGGTGCTTTCAGAGGCTTTGGCACCTCAGCAGTTGGAGCACTGCCTGGCCGGGTCTTTGCTCTGACTTCATTAGAGGTGTCCAAAGAAATGGCATTCAAATACTCTGAACATTTTGATATGTCAGAGGCATCAAGGATTGCTGTAGCTAATGGTATAGCAGGTCTAGTGTCAAGTATATTCTCAAGCGCATATTTTGTGCCATTAGATGTGGTGAGCATTCATTTCCACTCTTGTGCCATGTTCATAACTTCTCCGTTTGCCCGTAATACTTTGATGTTCAATAATCTACTGTCACTGTTAAAGGATCTGCTTTACAATGATGATTTTGGTTCACCAAACTTGTAAACATATCAACCAAAACTTTGATGAAAACTTGCCTTTTGGCTGGTGAATTTTGTAGTGCATGCATATACATGTTGCCTATTGATTTAAAGCCTAGTGACTCTTGAGATTCCTTCTTTGACTACTTAAGTTTTATTCACTCCACTTTCCTTCTGACCATTTCCTGTTATCACATAATTCCTTTTTGTAAGCTCTTAAATCTCTATTTCTTCACCTGACAAGGGCTAATTGCTTTCATAATAATCTGAATCTACTATTTCATAGTTGCTCTCACATCTCAACAAGTTCAAACAGTAGGATTTTACTAACTAGTTGAGGACATCTATATTATTAGATAGTTTACACGGCATCTTTGTGTTCTGTAGATTTGCCAAAGGCTCATGGCTCAAGGACTACCAGGGATGGCCACATACAGAGGCCCATTTGATGTGATAAGCAAGGTTGTCAGGACTGAGGGGCTCCGGGGCCTTTACCGCGGTTTTGGAATCACCATGTTGACTCAATCTCCAGCCTCTGCCCTTTGGTGGAGTTCATATGGTGGTGCTCAACATGCCATATGGAGGTGTGTTAGTTTTTATCCAAAATTTGTTGTTCATTTTGGTTCAAAGGTTTAAATTTGTAGTTCCTTTCTTATTCAATATTCTCATCATCAACATAGGAGCTTGGGTTATGGAATTGATTCACAAAAGAAACCATCTCAATCAGAACTAGTTGTCGTTCAAGCAACTGCTGGAACAATAGCTGGTGCTTGCTCATCAATAATCACGACACCAATCGATACCATTAAGACACGACTTCAGGTAACTATATATATTTTTCTGAACACATGGCTGTTTTATCTTTGATTATTTGTAGATATATTTTTTAGTGAACATTTATTTTGTTACCTGTATAACTGCATTGATCTTTCTGGTGGAACTGTGAAACAATAATGGTAGACTTTATGCCACGGTCAACATCTTCATGATAGTACTCTGGGTTGGAAATCAAACTCACCTTTGCAGTGTTAGAGAAGTCACAGGAATTCCTCTGGCTGCACTTTCCTCAGAGCTTCTAGTTGACAAACCCAAAGAGACATACTTATGCTAGCAGCCTTACTGTTAGATATGTTTAGGCGGTGAAGGACAAATTATGCTTTGCGGTCCAGGATAATATGAGAAGTCATTGGCCTTTTTGCAACATACTGTGTAACAAGGTTCATGTACTTCATCACTGATAGCAACCATTACCACAATGTTATAGGGAGAAGTACAAAAGTTCTCTTCAAATAAGTTATAGGTCGTTTGTTTAGCTCTGACATGAGTAATACACATATGATCTTTTTATGGTTCTCCATGTCACAAGTCATTTGGCTGTTCTGTTTTCCAACCACTTTCATGTGTATTCATATTCTGAATTTCATTTCAAGGCTATCACTGCAACATGTTCTGTTTTTGTCCATCATAGTGGCTGATGTCAGTACTAATGACATGATTCTGAGGTATGTAGGTTGTCTTTCGGTTGGGTTGTTTATATTATTGTTGTGATATAGTCTGCCTGAAATGTTGCTAGAAGTCTCACCTAGCAGATTTTACGGCAACTTTCATCAACATCCAAATGCCCTTTCAAAGCTGGGACTGAAATTTGCTTGTAGCTGACTATGTACCTGTGACACTGGCTGATATTAACATTCTCAACATGATTGTGTGATTTGTATTAACGTGCTGTTGTTATGACAAGATCCTTCTCTGAATTGTCTTTGCAATGATGCTATCTATTACCATATCAAAGGGCATAGTAGCCATACAAATTACTACAATATACTTGCCAGAGTTCCATCTGCTTGTTCTAACATGCGTTATTTCAGGTGATGGATAACTATGGTAGGGGCAGGCCATCTGTCATGAAAACCACCAGGGTGCTGCTAGAGGAAGATGGCTGGAGAGGTTTCTACAGGGGGTTTGGACCGCGGTTTCTCAACATGTCCCTGTGGGGTACATCCATGATTGTAACTTACGAGCTAATAAGTAAGCACAGTTCAAATCCATTCCCCCCTTTGGTCTGCCAGGTTAATTAACTCCTCCCAATTTGCACCTGCAGAGAGGCTCTCCGTCAAGCCGGAGTGATGAGCCTTTTGGCTTCTGTTCCAAATAGATGGTGTAATCTTGAAGACCCACAATCCTTATCTGTGATGGGCTGACGGCTATCTAGTGAGTTCTTCTCAAGAAAGGGATTTGGAAAGTAACAAAATCCAATCAAGAAGTTTTAGTGATGGAAACTGTTTTATAACTACAGGGGAAGTATTAGCAAGTTAGTAGCTTAACAAGTTCCTCCTATACACTGTAAATATTTACTAGGGTTCTGTATGAAGTTCTTCTGAAGGTGCTTCATCCAGGATGTAATAGCCTGAGGCTTGCCCTGGCTACTGGGGGCAACATGTACGCGGCTCATAAAACCCTAAAAATTTTGGCAATGAGCTTTTGTATCTCTTTCCATGAGGCAACAAATTCCCACGGTATCTCGCTTGGTTTAATTTGTTATCATTTTTAGCAGATTCTAGCTAGCCACGGTCTTGAGATGGATGATGTAGCCAAACCAATTTAATGGAAAATGTACTCGCTTAATATGATATACTTAGACCACTTGCTTTATAGTATGATATAAGATCGACAAGCTTTTGGTAATGTAGTTCTTCATATGATTATATCTAGCTGTTTGGCTATTAGCCTGTTCAGATATTTTTTCAATGTTTTCACTCTACGGTGCTCTCATGTTTGCAATTCGCAATCTGTAAAGGTCATTCCCAAGTCAGGTTTCAAGAGGTTTTCGTCAATTCATTTGTTCATCGTTTGGAACTCTGGAGTCTGGATGACTCAAAAGTTAGTTATAGTTAATCGTTGAGAAAGAAAATCTATAGATTAGCATGAATCGCGGAGAAGAAATCTATTGTCAAAAGAAGAGGCATGTCATGTCTGCTACTGCTCAGCAGCTTGCGAGCTGATCTTGCAGCGACTCTGGGCGACCTTCCTGCAGGCAGTGCACCGGCGGCTGCGTCAGCGTCTCCATCACCCCGTACGCGTTCCAGCAGTACGGGTCGGCCAGCTTCGCGCCGGCGCTGGCACCGCCGCCTTCGTCGCCGCCGCCGGCCGGCAGCAGCTCGACGTCGGTCATGGTGATGCCCGTGCAGGCGACGGTGTCGCTGCACGCGAAGCGCACCGGCGCGCCGCCGCCGCCGCGCGGGTTGTACGTGCCGCGGATCCCCCTGTACGCGACGCCGTCGACGCGCACGGCGGCGGTCTGGTTGGCGCAGCCGGCGCCGGCGCCGCCGTGCGCATCGCAGTAGTACTGGTCGATGACGATGCAGCCCCTGACGTTCACCATCTGGACGGCGTCGAACACCACCCCCGACACCGACCCGGCGCCGCCCTGCCACGTCTTGATCCGCACGCCGTTGTCGGAGTCGACGACGCGCGCGCCGCGCACGGTCACGTTCGACACGCACGCCCGCGCGCCGCGCGCGCCCAGGCCGCCGATGCTGATGCCGTGGCCGTGCACGCACGTGACGTTCTCGACGCGCACCCCCGAGCAGCCGCCGCCGATGCTGACGCAGTCGTCGCCGTTGCTGATCCTGGAGTTGAGGATCCGGACGGAGCTCGTGTTCTCGACGTGGACGCCGTCGGTGTTCGGGCTCGACGCCGGCGAGCTGACGACGAGGCCGTCGACCAGCACCCGGCTGCACCCGTCGAACTTGAGGTGGAACTGCGGGCTGTTCTCCATCCTCAGGCCCTGCACGCTCACGTCGCTGCTCGCCACGAACTTGATCAGCTGCACAGTACAACATATCTCACTTTATCTAGGATTAACACTCGATTAATCAATCTCAATAATTAAATTACTGCAGCTAATGCGATTTGTAGTGTACTTACTGCAGGGCTCTCACATGGGCCGGGTAGGGTCGATCCATTGGGGCCCTGAACATAGACACGAAACAGTCAGTGTGTACTCTCTGACAGAAAAAAATAGGCGTGTCACTCATGTCACGAGATTAAGGTCGGCTAATTACAAAGATGAAATTAAGCGTGTCGTGTCACGAGATTAAGGTTGGTTAATTACGTACCCTGTGAGGTTTACACGGGAGATTCCACCACTCCTCGCCGTTGCCTTCGATGGTGCCCTTGCCGGACAGCGTCATCCCGTCGGCCCTGTAGAAGACGATCCACTGCCGCCGGCCGTCCGCCGCCGGCCAGCTCGCCGGCCCGTCCGGCGGCATCAGCACGCCGTCGATCTGCCGCGACACGTCACGGGTTAATCAATGGGGAAGGAAGTTGATGGAAATCGGGGACAAGGCGTGTGTTCGTGATTATATATATTTTTACTTGGAAGGTGAGGCCTGGCTTGCATGGCCCGGCGAAGATGGTGGAGGTGATGGTGAACACGCCGTCGGACGGCACGAGCACGGTGGCGGACTCCGCCGAGCACGCCGCCTTCCACGCCGCGCGGAACGCGCGCGTGTCGCCGTCGGCGCTCGAGCCGTTGCCCGTCGCGCCGAACGCCCTCACGTCGAACACGTTGCTGATGCCGCCGCCGCCGCCGGTGCAGGGTGGAGGTGGTGATGATGAGCTGTTCTTCGGTGATGGCGCCGTCGTGGCCGGTGGCAGCGCCGGTGGCGTTGTTGGTGGTGCTGGTGTCTCCGCCGGCGCGTGCGCCGGTGGTGGCATCGTCGGGGCGAGCTGCGGTGGAAACGACGGCGGTGGCTTTGTTGCCGGGGCAGGCGGCCGCTGCGGTGGCTGCACCGGAGCGACTGACGGTGGCTTTGGCATTGCGGCCGGAGGGATCGCCGGACGTAGTGCTGTCGGTGGCTTGGCCGGAGCGTACGCCGGTGGCTTTGACGGGGAGTGCCGCGGTGGATGCTCCGGCGACGGCGAGGGCACTGGTGGCTCGGCCGGAGGCAATGACGGTGGCTTCGCGTGATGGTGCGTCGAATGTGCGTTCGCTGGGGAGAGTTGAGGTGGCGTGGCCGGCGAGATCGCCGCCGGCGCCTTGGTGGGAGGAAGCGCCGGCCGCTCCGCCGGCGGCATCGACGGCGTCTTAGCGTGAGAATGTGACGGCGCCTTGGCCGGCGGCGACAGCGAGGGTGACGGTGGCATGGCCCGAACGCGCGACCTCGGCGCGCCCACCGGCGACAACTCCTCCGGCGGCTTGACGGGAGGCTGCATCGTCGGGCACGGCTTCTCACGCGGAGATCGCCGCGGCGGAGCGTCCTCGACGCCAGCCGGAGGCAAGCCCGGCGTCTCCGCCGGCGATTCCCCGCTGTCGAAGTCGGGAGGCAGCGCGGCGGGCGGCTGAGAGATGTGGCTGCCGCCGTTCGTCGCCGCCGCCGCCGCCGCCGCCGCGCGGTGGTGCCCGCGGTGCGGCGCCCTCCGGTGCTGCCTCCGGTGGTAGTGCAGCCTTGCCTCCGAGCAACAAGGGAGACACGACGAGAGGAGGAGGAGCACCACGGACACGGCCACCGCCGCCGCCGTGCGACGCGACATTGTCGTCGTCATCGTCGACGGTTGCCGCGTGCTCCGGCGTGCAGCCGCGCTCGCCGTTGGCCCCATCGCCGACGTACGGCCTAGCTGGGTGGAGCTAGCGCTGCTTGGAGTTTGAACGGAGCGGGAGATGCTATATATATACTCCCTCAGTACCTAAATTTTCGATGCCCATTGACTTTTTTAAACATGTTTAACTGTTCGTTTTATTAAAAAAAATTAAGTAATTATTAATTTTTTTCCTATTATTTGATTTATTGTTAAATATATTTTTATGTATAAAAATTTTTTTAATAAGAAGAACGGTCAAATATGTTTTAAAAAGTCAACAGCGTTAAATATTTAGGGACGGAGGGAGTACAAGTGCATGATTGTGGCTAGTATTGGGCGATGCAGGATGATCAAAAGCTAAATTCATACTGGACCGCTAAAATTCTGACAATTTTTGTAGTACTAAGCACCAGTATTTTATTAATCAAAGGCAAATGAATTGGCATGGGTGTATCTAAGTATGTATGTATACTTGTGGCTAGCATTTGTCATGGTGGATATATAATTGTATTACTAAGTTCATGTTGGATTACAATACGCACCCGCTCCAATTTTGTAAGCACCATACCGGTGTATATAATCCAGGCAAAGGAACAGCCAGTCAGTGAATTTGTACTACTTGTATGCTACCACACTTGTGGCTAGCATTCGTCCATGGTGAATCTCTAGAGCTAAATCCATATTGGTTTATTATACAAAACATTGGATATAAATGGAGGGACTCTCGTATCAAAATTTGTAATGCTAGCCTACCACCTTGTGCAGTGAGGCTTGAATCGGGCTGGTTAGTCTATCACCTTATGGTGCTAGCTAGAAAACCCCATAGATTTTCTCATATACTGATTTATCATATATGCCACTACAATTATATCAAAGAGTATCGTAATGAAGCAAATGAATTGGGTCTAACTTGGTTAGGGGGAGATTATACGAGTGTATTCGCTTCCATCCAATTGTCCATTTTTCAGTGCTCAGGGTTTCGAATTTAGATGTATATTTTGTTTCCTCAATTAAATTGTTACCGAATTTCTTCTTGTTAGAATCGGCCTTATGAAAAACCATGTTGAATATATACCTATTGATATATATGTGTGGGTTTTGACAATGTAACAACAATATACTGATTTCCTTTGTGTAGTGAAGTTTCAGCCTATCAGTTATTTTTTCTTTCCCTAAAAACTGTCTATAACTATTTTGTTTGATATTTGAGAAGTGGAGCACTTGTACCTAAGATTCGGAAACTTTTCTCTCCTACCATCTTTCATCCCAAGGCAGTTCCCTAGTAAGGCTGTGTTCGATAGCAGGAGTTCCCAACTCCCTCTTCTCGTTTTCCACGCGCACTCTTTTCAAAGTATTAAACGATGTGTTTTTTAAAAAAAAGTTTATATATAAAAGTTGCTTAAAAAAATCATATTGATCCATTTTTAGAAAAAAATTAGCTAATATTTAATTAATCACGCGTTAATGGACCGCTCTTTTTTCCGTGCGTGGGTGATGGGTTCCCAACACCCACCACCGAACACAGCCTAAACCCCCAAGCAGGATGTTACTCGAATAGAATCCTAAGGATAAACTCTAATTCCCTCGCTCGTATTTTCAAGCTGTAGATAATAGGAGCTGAAATCAATCCCTTGAAACATTCTTTTCTGAGAGGACATCATCGGTCGTTTCGCTCCCTTGTTTACTAAACTCTATTTAGGAGATCAACCCGGCGTAGGAGTATGGGATTTGGACACATCAGCAGTACCAGTTGTTGAAGTCGAGTATGAGCTTCTATCCAATTGTAAAGGTAGAACCGTAAATACTATCCGAAATAGTGAATTGAGGGTGCTTGGTAAATGTGTTCCATTCCTTGAAAGCCAGTGGATACTATAGCCAGCGAAATGGTTGCTACTAAAGCATAAACTGCTTACCCTCGTCCCTAAGCACAACGGACTTCAGATGCCTCTCTCCATTGCACTTTAAGTACTTAGCTGTTTTCTACTGCTGAATCCACTCCAGCTCACCTACCTTGTCGACAGGGATTCTCTCCATTACTTCTGCTGCAATATGAGACACTTACAGGTAGGTTTATCAGTGATTAGCGTGGGATACACAGGCAACCTCTGCCAGTGAGGTTACCGGTGGCTGCTCGCGCTTTCTCTCTCTGCACGACGTGCCTGGAAAAGATTTGCATTTGCTAATGAAACCCAAGGCTGAAAGAAGTTAGGGGAAGATTTAGGGTTAGCTGAAACAAGTTGTCGTTCTTGCATGCTCTTTTCCGGCTTTACAAACTGCAAGTTGGAGCTGCCATTTATGCATGCAGAACCAAGGATGCACAATTAGCACCTTGCTAGAGCCTAGTAGCTACGCTTTGCCTCGAACTAGCTTTGTGGTTAACTTTAGCTTGTCATTGTCTGCACCGTGTAGCATTGCAATATGAACTGTTAATTACTCCTGTATAGTACATGTGTTTTACTACTGTAATACTAGTTCATAAGCGACAAGATCTTGGGGGCATCTTGTCGCTCTCGATCAATTCGATATTTGACTTACATTGACTCGATCGATCGGTCACATGAACACGAATGGATGAATGCCAGGATATCGATCGAGAGTTTTAATCGAGTTGGCGATTAGTTTACAGCTGCCAATAAATTCGACACTTGTATCCACAACGAAGCTTCTAGTTCTTCACGAGATCAAATTAACGATCGATCGGCTAGCTTGTGATGGTGCGACATATACATACCTCAAAATACTACGAGTACCTTGTAGGAGAATACCACAGGGAATTTGTCTCAAAATACTAAACTAACCAACCTACTTGCCCACAGCGCTACGGTTCTGGACTTCTGGTATGCTTGTACTAAATGCTTAGCTCATTAATTTTATCTTCGTTTGAAAAGAGTACTCCGTCTTGTTTTTAGGCTCAGTTCCAAACTTAACTCACTTTCCAAACTTAACTCATTTTCCAAACTTAACGAACAGAACCTTAACTCACTTTCCAAACTTATGTCACAAGTGTGGTATGCCATAGTTTTCGTGGCACCAAAAAAAAGAGCTACACTTTATGACAAATTTTTGCTAATAAGGGAGTGTATGACATATGGATCGTAAGAGTATAAAAGTGCCATATCTTTGACTTCAACCAAACACTTACATAAAAGTCATTTATCTTATTAACTTTTTAATATAATGTAAATACGAGTCATGCTTCAAGTACCTCCAATACTAATAAAATAAGTCAGTTTTCACTAAGGATAATTTTATTATCCTTAAGAATGTACCATAAGATACCATAATTTGTAGTCTAAAATTTGGTACGTAACTCCATGTACTAGGTATTTCGAGATACTAAAATTTTTAGTGTAAAATCTTGGCACCTCCAGTAACATTCTCAAGGATCATAAATTATTTCCCTTAGTGGTCATTTTAAAATTCGCGGCTAATTCTAAAGCCGGGTAAACTTTGTATCTCGACTCCCAAAATCGAGTAAAACTCCTCCGTTCATTTGGTAATGGCTTGACCGGATCACCCAAAACCATTGTAAAACTGGTGAAGCGACGAGGTTCATTCAGTTCTAAAAGTTTAGTGAAAGAGAAATTTTATGGCTAAGTCCTTGTTACTACTAATCAAGTGCTCAGGCAGGAGAACAGAAGATTCAGTGAACCTACACAAGAAACCAATATGGCTAAGTCCTATTTTCCGAGAAGCATACAGCTGTAAAAACGAGCTTCTTTCTGTTTGCAGGAAAAGCCTTGCAGTAAAACGTCAAGAGAAAAGAAGAGAACAGGGCAGGAAATTACCAGCCGCGAATGGAATGCACGCATGTGATCACCTCTACCTTTCGCCGTCCATCCGCTGCCGCCGGACGCGACAGAAGACGGGTACACTCCCCTGATCAAACAAGAGAGAATATTGCACACGAACTCCCATCTCTTTCTGAATCTCCGTATTATACAAACACAGAGATGGTGTCCTTGCACTAACTAAAAGCAAAGCCATTTGTCTATGACAGCCCGTGATCAAATCCTAATCACTTTTGCTGCGTTAGTTAGCCGACCTACATGAATTTCTTTTTTTTTTTTTGAAGATGTTTTGCTACACTTTATTTGGATGACGAATTCAGGGTGGGCACATCAACTGACAGCTGGCATTAGTTTGTGAAAAGAAAAATTAAGAATAGGCTGAACAGGACGCTGTACCCACTCTGTCCCATGTTTTCGGTTGTAGGACGGATCGGTTTGATCACCCAATTTTGAGATAACATACATATATATTCATTTCTGAACCATGTTTTTTTCTTCTTTTTTTTTTCATTTTTGTTTGTCAAGAACCAAATTCAGTAGTAACACATTGGAAGTTTGGAACTCACGTCCTTCTGTCCGTAGAGAACCTTCAGAGCTCTACCTGTACACATCTCTTATGTTAAGTATTTGATGTAGCTAGTTCAGTGTATGACAAAAGAAAAACAGGGGCAAGAAGCCACGAACTGAAGAAGCTAACTCAATACAGCGGATGAGCAATCCTGCGTGCTACCGGCGGAACTGAAAATGGTTTTGTCCTCTCAAAGTACAGAGAAAGCTAGCATTATTCAGGAGCACAGAGCTAGTCGGCTTCATGTATCTCTGAATCTTTTTGTTCGTGAGCATCACGGGTAAGTTCAGAAACTCGATGCAACGTCAGCTGCTACTTCTTACCAGGAAAACTACTCATCGATCTCGACACAAGTACACTACACACATGTCAAAATCTGACCTTACCCTTTCTTGCCAAAAGAAAACAATAAAAATAAAAACCCTGAGTTGTCCTATATGTCAGTGACAGAGAGTAGTAATGGGCCGTATTCCCGTGCCAGCATGTAGGCCATCGTTGGGCCGTTCGTGGGCTGGTTAAGCCCAAGGCTGATGACCTCTTCTTATGGGTTTAATAATACCACATCGCTAGTTGAGATGGATTGAGCCTCTGGATGAGGTATAGGCTATATTTAGTTCCTTCCAAAGTTGAAAGTTTGGGTTGAAATTGGTACGATGTGACTGAAAAATTGTGTGTGTATGACAGGTTGATGTGATGGAAAAATTTGAAAGTTTACACAGCCATAAAAGAAGAGACGGAGTGTCTAGCAAAAGCATACCTTTCTCGGCCTTTTGGCTAAGATCAAGTGTAGTATCTGTTCTTATCAGTTTAATGTCTGATATGTGGGCTATGTGCCTACTTTGATATTAAATTAATTTATTTTGGGGAAGGGTACTGGCTTGCCATTGGGGCCCTTGAGTGTTGCCTTGGCGTTGCACTATACCCTCGGTCTGACACACCCCAACCAAATCGAACACAAACTTTTTGATGCTTAATCTGATTTGAATCAAATCATCGAGTTCTTGCAGATACAAATGAATGGAATCATTGGTCACTGCTGAATATATTTCCACTCTGTTTAAAGATTGAAAGCTTGAATCTTCACATTGTCAATTACTCCATATTGTTGGGAGCATATGTCCTCTGCATTGATAACATAAGGACTCCCAACAGGAGTCTCTGAAAATATATCTATATGTCCTGTAGATTGATTGATAGATTATATGTCCTCTAGATTGATTGATAGATTATGAGTTTCTGAAAATATATCTACTATATGTCCTGTAGATTGATTGATAGATTATATGTCCTGTAGATTGATTTGTAGATTTATATGTCCTGTAGATTGATTGATAGATTAAGAGCGGGATTAAGAGCGGGTGGGAATCCATGAACGGAGAAATCTCGGGCGAACGCCGTGGCAGACTGCCGTGGCAGCGACTGGTCTGATCTGCCGGCGGACTTGCTCGTCACCGTCTTCAGCTCTCTGGAGATCCCCGACCTGATCTGCTGCGGCGTGGCCACCCACCCTCCACCGGCAACCTCTACCGCATCCCGCTCCCCGACGACCACGACACCCTCCCGAACGGCGATCCGCCATCGACAACCCCTCTACGATTACCACCACCCTCCACCCACAGCCCGTTCAACCAGCTCTCTCCTTCGCTAGGCTCGATCGGCGACACCGCATTGACATGGATCAACACACGCACGCGGATTTTGCTTAAGCTTGGATTACCACGACTGCTAATTCTACTATGACAATAATGATGGATTGCTCTACGCCATCCGCTTGACTGGTGGGATGCACGCCATTGATCTCCATTACCCAGCTCAACATCGATAGTCGTATTTGATGCTTTTAGTGCACCGGACACATCTCCTTTAATTTCTTTCTTTGCTTTTCTATGTTGTATTCTTGTGGAGGTCACAAATATTAAGGTAAGGAAAAAAAATGTGGAGCTGCACGTTAAGATGCTTCACGCTGAAAGACATAGAGAATTCATAATATCGTAGGTCCTCAGGGCACACAGAGTTTATGGAATAACTGCACTTCTCCTTTTAGGATTCAGCCCTCGTGGTCACTATGCAAAAATAAATAACAATCAATTGGTTTTCACAGTGTTCAGCTAGCAATAGTTTTTCTTTTGCCCTGTTTAATTAGAAAACAAGGATTCCTTGCAATTTCAAGCCAAATAGACCAATTCCTGTAGTTACCATGGGTAATTCTCCGGTTGGAATATGACTTTTGTTGCAATTTATTTTAACCACATCGAATGGGGTCGCTTGTTATTTTCCCTGTTTAGGTATTTTATTAAGTTTGGTCCTCACTGTCCTAATTTTCGCTTACCGTCCTTTTACCGTTCAAAAAGAAATGGAAAAAAATGTAGCATCATCACAGGTAAAAAACGCAAGCAGAGGTTGATATATCGAATAATTTGATGCAGAGGCTCTCGCTGGGCATCAAGCTGCAGTTTTGTTGATGTCCTCACACTTGTCGTGATGTCCCAATCACTGGCCTGTTGCAAGAATACTTTCTCTCGCTGCTTTAATAAGAGTGAGTATAACAAGTGTTGTAAGCGGATTTTAAAAATTATTGTGTTTAATTAGATAGAGAAGATTGAGAAGAGAATAAAAACGGGCTACAAAGATTTATTGCCAGCTACTTATGCTCTCAGATACTTATATGTACTTATATATTACATGTGTATCAGAGATAAACATTACTCCCTCCATTTTAAAATATAACTATTTTTAGAATAGTGACAAGTCAAATATTTTAAACTTTGACTATTAATAGAAAAAAAATTCAATCATGTAAAACTGATGTTACTATATTTATCATTAAGCAAACTATCATAATATATATTTCTTTTTATTTAAAACATACTCCCTCCATTCCGTAATATAAGATACAACCACTTTTTTAGATGTTTCATAACAGTATAAGGCATGCATACAAGCATGCAATTAACTATGACATTTTCTCCATTAAATTAGTACTCCTACCTTTTTAAATCCTCCATTCTCATGTTATCTAATTTTATTGGATGCATGCATTATATTTATTAGGATGATCCAAACTACAAGATAAAATAATTGTTTCTTGATATTTGGATTAAGGGTGGTTGTGTCTTATATTTTGGAATGGAGTGAGTATTACTTTTATAGATATTGTTGACTCAGAGACCGTGTTAGAGTCTAAAAATGTTTATATTTTTGGAACGGATAGAGTAATTAATAGTGTAGTGTAGTATAAGTAAGACTAAGTTTGACTGTATATTTTGGAAGCAGGAGTAGTTGCTATTACCGTGTAATCATCCACAATAATTCCTCCGTTTGACGACAAGTGGCAGCAGCTTTTCATCAGTCCACTTGCGGTGGTGGCCTGGTGGGTGGGAGTAGGGTGTGTGCATCTTCTTTTACGCTGCCTCTGTCGTTAATTAGTGCACATCATCGATCAACTGCCTACTGAAACATATGCTAGTACACGAGGATCTTTTAGTTTGTTCCAAAGATATAAATATCAGTTGGAAACTGATTTTTTGGCTATATAGTCTAGTGGTGGTAGTAAGATACCGTTGTGTATAAGTATCCTACTCATTAGGGTTAGAATAAAGTGTACGTTAGATCTTTAAACTGGTCTACTTGTGTTAATTAGATCTCTATACTCTTAACATATTGATCCAAGTCTCATAACTTATTTAAGTATGTTATTTCTATCTCAAATTACTATGACCCCTTCGAGATCCTATGTGACGCAGACATGACACCATCAATGACGACAAATGGGATCCACTTAGAAATTTTCCTTTTTTCCTTTTCTTTTTTCCCTTCTCTCTTAATTTTGTTTTCCATTTCTTCTCATTCTTCTCGGTGGCACTTGCGATAATGAACTTGGGTTATCGTTCAGATCCCAGTCTACTTCAATGGCTAACTCACCCCGCCCAACAGTGAAAGGGGAAGTGGGAGGACCTAGACGATGGCAGCCTAGGAGGAGTTAGCTGTCACCACGGCTTCTTGGTGGCACCATCCTCCTCCACGCACCTCTCCCTCGTCTGTCTTGTTTATCATCGCCGTCATCATCTTCAAAGAGGCTGGCAAGCTATGGGAGAGATACACATGAGGGCGGCCCTCTCCACTTAGCTCGCCGAGCTTGAGCTCTTGATGACTCCCCCCTCCTACCTCACCGCTAACACCTTTAGGCTAGCTCATCCGGTGCAAGAATCGTCGTGCTCAAGCTCACCACGACCACCTTGTCAAGCTCGTGCCCGACACCGGTGGCGGCAATAGCCCAAGGGCCTGTAGGCCGAGGACGCTCGGTGGGGATGGAGGGGCTAGCAACGATGTGGGCAGGCGGATGCACAAAGGAGAAACACGGGAAGGAACACGAAGGTAGCACACGATGGGCTCCTGCCCTGACATAGATGCCATGCACCCTGCAGGTTGGGTTGGGAGAGATGGGAGAGAGATGATGGAGCCATGTCAAGTTTGAGCCCTACTTATTAGGACTAAACCAAGTCCATGGGAGATCCACCGTGGCATGCCATGTCGGTGCGCGGAGCAGTTCAGGGCTGGTTTAGACTAGTTATGGTGCCTAAGATGAGTTGGCGACCTGAAAATACATTTTAAGAGTTAGAGAAACCTGGATGGCACAAATGGACAAGTTTAAAGACCACCATGCAGTTTACTCTTAGGTTTAATATGATATTCTTTTCAGCTTATTTATCAGACTATATATTGAAACAGACTATTTGTCCAAGGCTAAAAAATATGTTTTCTTAAAAAAAACAACTTTCACCTACTACATATTTTAAGATATTTATTAAGTTTATTTCTCAAAATATTATTTATCCCTATAATAAATTAGATAGTCAATGGCAATAATCCACTCAATAATTTAAATCGTGCAGGACCGGATTTAGTCTTGGAGTCTATCAATTTTTTAAAGAATATTTTATGTATGCATATACAGGACGTGCACGCTTATGCGTGTGGGTGGCTATATTTTATAACCTTTTGAAATTAGAAAAAAAAGGCAAATACGATTTAGCAATATGAATCAAGTGATATAGTGGGAGATTGGTTCTTCTTAACTCGGTTCTTTCGAGCCTTCCCATGTTTATGTTATCCTTCTTTGAAATACTTTGAGGTGCACTTCAAAGACTGGATTACTCCCGATCGAGATTTTTCTAGAGCAGTGATAGCCAAAAAAATATATAGGTTAACAAAATGGGAATATATATGCCGGCCAAAAGGGTGGACTGGGTGTCCTAAATCTTGATATCATGAATATATATTTGTTGAGCAAATGGCTATTCAAGCTTCTTAATGGTGATGGTCTGTGGCAAAACCTTTTGCACAACAAGTACTTAAAGGGTAAACCCCTCTCCCACACGTCACACAAACCATGAACATCTCAATTTTGGGCTGGCCTAATGAAAGTAAAAGATCATTTTTTTTTTAGTATGGATCTTTTAAACCTGGTAATGGGATGGAGATAAGATTGTGGGAAGACACATGGTTGGACTTGCAACTTCTCAAATATCAATACCCTTCTTTGTACAATGTGGTTCGAAAGAGACATTCTACTTTGGCAGAGGTTATGAGCACAACACCGTTGAATGTTTCATTCCGACGATCAATTGTAGGACCAAAGTTAGTTGAGTGAAATGATTCGATTTCTCGACTAGCTAATATAACCCTGTCAAATGAAAAGGATTGCTTTATTTGGTTGCTACATAATAATGGCCAATTTTCGGTCAAATCCATGTATAATGCGATCATTAATTCTAATGTAAGGATCCGCAAGAGGATCTTATGGGAGATAAGTGTACCACCAAAAATCAAAGTATTTATGTGGTTTCTTCAAAAAAAGTAATCTTAACGAAAGATAACCTTATAAAGAGAAAATGAAGGGGAAACAAGCAATGTTGTTTTTGTAATACACAACAGACCATCCAA